CACTTGGTAGCCCAAGCTGGCCTCGAACTCACAGAGATCCGCCTGGCTCTGCCTCCCAAGTGCTGGGATTAAAGGCGTGCGCCACCACCGCCCAGCTCAAACAATTACCTTCTTGAACTTTGTTAATGAATCTATTGAGAGGTAGTGACAAGAGTCAGTGTTTGAAAGCCAACAACCAGTTATCTTTAGAGACAGTGGCTTAGCCTAGGCATTGTAGCATGTGCCTATAATCCCAGCCCTCAGAAGAATCTTGAGTTCCTTTGTAGGGAGGACTCAGATATAAAACAGAAATACTCATATTAAAAGATTGAATTAGACCCTGACTGTGTTCAGCCCTGTGGATTCAAGTCTCCCTGGATAGATATGTTATCACACAGCACTTCCACTTGACCCCTTGGAGTTAAATGGATGTTCTTGATAATGCTGTTGGGTCTTGGCGGTTTTCTTATAAACAGCATGCAAGAACGCGTCAATGGATGGCGTTTGTGGCCATGACAGTGGCTTATCCCAGGGTAAATCCAGTCCACGTTTGGGCTTCTGTGACAATGAGTCAGTCCCTCAAGTGTGTATTGAGTCAGCTGCATTTTGCTTCCAGCTTCATTCTGCCTCCAGAGCGTCTTCAGAAAGGTCATCCACAAGGTGACCTAGATATCATCAGAGCTCCTTGGGTAGTCTTATTTTTTTGTTCTCAGTGGTGACAGACAAGAGGAAGGGAGAAAACTTAGAAACATTGACTGAAACAGAAGAAAATTGGAAGAACTAAAAATTTGTTAACGTTGGCAAGCTTGTTCACGATAACAAGATCACATCTCGTCACAAGTAACTAGTTTTTCAATGATGGGAAAATAAATCAAAATTAAATCTCAACCAAACACATGGTGGTTTCCTTACCTATGAGTTAAATGCAATTTTAAAAGATGGAAAAAATAGGTGAAAGACAAATGAACTCTTCTAAATTTGATTGCCCAAACATGTCTGCTATAATGTTCTATTGAAATTAAAATTATCTCCTAGCTGCCATCTTTTGAATGTGGATAATATCAAAATCATTCTTGATTACAAAATAATGTGATCTCTGTTTTATTGGATTTGGTCTGACACTCTGCATACAACAGTAAAAATGTTAGCATACCATATCCTGAGTAATTTGCTTCATGGAAAGCTGTCTTGGGAAACTCTAGGTTGGTTTGTCATGCACCTCTTGTGACTGGAAACCAAATCACAGATTTATCATCAACTCTTTCCTTTTCTTAAGATCCCCAAATGTCGTGAGGTTCAGGGAACTCCCATGAAGTAGCCTTTCTAACTCAACTTGAAGATTAACAATGTACCTGTAGCCCTAAAGCCAGGGCTCCTGGACTTGGCGTCATCAAGTCAACCTTGGTTTCTCAAGTGTCTACGTATGTCCGGCCAGACAAGTGTCACTCTCATATAACACTGCAGACACAGTCTTAGGTGCGTAGCTAACGCTTCCAACTATGCCATGTCAGTAACAAAGACAGCAGTCCTTCAAACTGTGTGTGTAGTTATGCTGTGCTGAAAACAAGATGGCTTTAAAAAAAGCTAGACACACTGTTTTTCTCTTTACAAAACAAGATACATTAAGTTGCTATAGGTTATAAATAGCTTATTAGGGCTCCTTAGATCCAGAACACAGAACACTGGAGCATCAGCAAGATTCTAACCAAAGTCTACAATTGTTGCCCATCAGTTTATATATTCCTGTAAAACGGTTATTTCAGTCTTGGGGTAGCAGCATCATGAATGCTTTTGAGTTTTCAGTGGGGGTGGGGTGGGGTTTTTTGTTTGGATTTTTGTAAAGTTCTGAAAACCCTGACTCAGTCCACTGGTGAGGTCTCAATGTTGTTTAGACCCAGCAACTGTCCTTTCCCATGAGGCTCCTTGATTGGCAATGATTCACTCTAGCCAGTAGCTGATTGTAAGGAGTTTCAAGGCAGCCTCAGAGCCAAACAAAAGCATTCTGTAGAAGCTAACACTTCAAACTCCTATGACCTAATAATTAATGGTTTTCAAAACTCGGGTCTAAAACAGGTAACACTGTTGTCACAAGAATAACAATATTGGCAAGGAAAATTGTGTTGTTTCTGTAGCATGAAGAATAATGTCAATACAAAAATTTAGAGACAAAAATACATATAATGTAAAAGCTAATGTTATTTTGAAAAACTAGATATTTTATGTGATTTATGAAAATTAATAAATGTTATCTTTACTTAGGAAAAAAGTCTTCAAATAATCCTGGTATGTAATGTACCATTACTAATTAAACATACTGTTAGAATATGCCAAGAATGTGCTAATAGTACTAAAAAGTTTCAGTATGCCCAGAGTAGGTAGGCTTCATATATCTTTACAAAACCACAACCTTATACATAAGTGAGGTAACACCCCAGTTTAAACCACTGGTTCAGAATAGTGATTTTAATTAAAGAAAAAAAACTCTCTGCTGCCCAGTTTTGTTTATAAGTAAGTGAGCTCATGACTATAAGATTATACTGTTGTCTAAGATGGAAACAGATAGGATTTGGTATTTGTACATCAGGCAAAATGTGTGGAAATTCTAAAGGAAGTTGGTTCACACTATTTCCTGTAGTATTATATTTCATTAAGTAAGTTCTGCAATCCCTTCCTAACGTGTATGAAAAGGAAATCTTTAATCTGGGACAAATCATAACATCCTAATAAAAGTCTGATTTTACACTCAGTAGCCATTTGTATTGCCTTTACTGATATATTTAAATATATTCATAATTTCTCATTAATATTAATTGGTTTCTCTCCACCACTACCACCAATTAGAAGGGTAGCCATGAAAAAAACCCCAAACCACACAAAGACTCAACAAAAGAAGAGAATCACAGATCAATTTTCCTCAACATGAATGCAAAAATATCCAACAAAATATAAGCAAACCAAATCCAAGAACACATCAGAAAGATCACCCACCATGATAAATTGGGCTTGATCCCAGAAATGCAGAGATGGTTTAGCATATGAAAAATCTGTCAATGTAATCCACCACATAAACAAACTGAAGAAAAAAAAAGAAGCCACATGATCATCTCATTAGATGCTGAAGAAGCCTTTGACTAAATCCAATACCCCTTCATGATAAAAGTCTTGGAGAGCTCAGGGATACAAGGAACATACCTAAATATAATAAAAGCAATATACAGCAAGCCAACAGTCAACATCAAATTAAATGGAGAGAAACTCAAAACAATTCCACTAAAATCAGGAACAAGACAAGGCTGTCCATTCTCTCCATATCTATTTAATATAGTACTCAAAGTTCTTATTCTAGTAATAAAACAAGAGGCAATCAAGGGGATACAAATTGGAAAAGAAGTCAAAGTATCACTATTTATTAATGGCATATATATATATATATATATATATATATATATATATATATATATATATATAACCCCAAAAATTCTACCAGGGAACTCCTATAGCTGGTAAACACCTTTAGTGAAGTGGCTGGGTACAAAATTAACTCAAAAAAATCAGTAGCCCTCCTATATACAAATGACAAACAGGAACACTTCTCCATTGCGGGTGGGAGTGCAAACTTGTACAGCCACTTTGGAAATCAATACGGCAGTTTCTCAGGAAATTGAGAATCAATCTACCTCAAGACCCTGAGACACCATTCTTCGGCATACACCCAAACAATGTGCAATCATACCATAAAAACACTTGCTCAGCTATGTTCATAGGAGCTTTATTTGTAATAGCCAGAACCTGGAAACAACCTAGATGCCCCTCAACCAAAAAATGGATAAAGAATATGTGGTACATTTACACAATGGAGTATGACTGGGCTGTTAAAAACAATGATATCAGGAAATTTGAAGGCAAATGGATGAAACTAGAAAAAAATTATCCTGAGTAAGGTAACCCAGACCCAGAAAGACAAACATGCTATTTACTCACTCAAAAGTGGATATTAGC